TTTCTTGTTTTACATGAAATATTGTTCCTGAAGAGTGGCATCATGCTGTACGATAACTAAGTTCACATGAGGCAATGGGCGAAAAAAACCGTTAGATAATCGTTTGTCTCAATTATAACTCGCTTTTCCCGTAGCGGTTGCTTCAGTTCCCTTTCATGATCTGCCACGGATTCGCCAAACTCTGCATTGTCTTCCCAACCAGCATTTTAGATTGTCAGTATCATCAACATCCAATAATTATTGTTGTTTAGCTCTCCTCCACCACTGTTGCTGTCCTCATTGGCATAACTATACTTGCACCAAATTTAAGCGATTCAATGTTTCATTTGTTTGAAAACAGGTGCGTTTCATCACAATAAAGTTACCACAGTCTTCTACTAGGTTCGAAGCTTAAACTTATTCACACAGGACTACAACTTGTCGAATTTTTCGTCGCTATCGTTGGTTTGAAAGTGTTCCGTGTATCCGGGTCTAATGTGGTTTGCCACTTCAAGTCCAAAGGTAAATACGTTTCTTAATTCAACAACGTTTCTATGCGATAAAGATGGCTATCACTTGCAATGTTTCTTTCATTCAGATGTAAAATAAAAGCTTTTTGCATTTTTCTCACATCGGGTTCACTAGTAGTTATGTAACCAAACTAATCCATCACTCAAGTGGATGAACACGATCATTTCAATCTCAGCACAAGGTTTTCGGTTTTACAATAAATCTTTTATACAACATGGATACACTTCGATAGTAATCCATTGCTCAAACTTCCATACCCTAAAACGTCACATACTTTCACTGGATGGTAAGACTGTTGTTTCAGTGAGGCCTTTGAATATTTTTACACTTGTTGCGCTTTTTAATACATTTTTTGTTTTGTAATCGGCTTGCTCATTATGCTCAAAGAACCTGTATCCCCAAGAATCCACTCACCTTGTCGTTTGAGAGGTGCATTTTCACGTAATCCTCCGATCCTATGAAGGTCATCTTCCGTGAGAAATCAATGGCCAAAGCCATTGATCACTTAAAACGGTGTTGATCTAACTGTTCAGTTGATAAGCATCAATGCTAAGCAAAGAATACATTGACACTCGTCATGATGTGGTCCAATGTGCACCCGCTGGTCGGAAAGCATTACTAACTAGCTGGAGCTGTAAGGTATCGTATTGTATCACAGCACGTTTGCAAGGATATTAACTTAAATCTCAGCTAAGAATACACATGATCCACCACATCCAACAAATATCCCGGAATATTGATTCACAGAAATTATAATAACAAATTAGGGTCCAAAACAGTGTCAATAACCTTGTATTACCATTGTCCTTCGATCTTACTTAGTCTATGCACATATCGACTATTTTCAACATGAGTGCAATATTTGGTTTCCGTTTCACGATTGAGGAGACACTGCAGGATATGGCATCGAACCGAATTCAGTGATGCGAATGCACCCTCTCTTGTCTGCAATCCCAAAAATAAAAAAAACGAAAAGAAACCTCAAAATGGTGTGTAATAAACAAACAAAAATAATTGTTACTCCCCGAAGTTAACTGCTTTATTTCCCCCGCTTTTGTACCTATATATTTTTCATTCACCCATGGTGATTTGGCGCCATATCTGTAAATATTGGTGTTATATATGTATCTACTTATTTGTATGTATATATGTATAATGTCCCTAATGCTCATTTCCCGTTTTGTTTGCTCCTGTTTTTGATGTCATTTCCTGTATTTTTCTCTTGTAATCTTTGCCGGTATCACAATCAAAGACAACCGCACTTTACGCCAGTGTGTTATAATCACATCGCCTGCAAGCGGACTGTTTAGGTGAGAGCTAATGAGCATTCTCGTCAAACATTCTCCACCTTGAAAGAACAATGCTTTTGAAGATAATGACCGACATCACTCTTCGTTTCAAATCTATGTGATTCCCTTGTAGATTTATTTCCTCTGGCANGCAGAGCTGAGAACAACTTGTAGCACCATAAGACTATGACCTGCTACGTTTCTCAGCAATATGGTGTGACAGCTCAGTCTATTAAGCTAATACTATTTGTTTTACTTTTTGTTAAATATCACAAATGCTTTACTTTATAAAGGCTTAGAAATTTCTAGATCGATCACAGGATATCCTAAGAGCACAAGGCTAAGTATTCTACTACCATGTGTCCAGAACTATTCAGTATTCGAACTACAGAGTGAACTTAAAGCCAAAAGGATGGATACAGACACATTTAACTTACCAGCAGTGTGGTTCTCCATGACTGAGAATTCTATATGTTCGGGGATTTCCGGAGCATTATCATTCACATCTGTAACAGCCACAATTACCTCCGCACTTGCGTTCAGTGCCGGGGACCCGTGGTCCGTGCAGTGAATTTGGAATGTGAGTAGATCACGGGATTCACGGTCCAGTAGACGACGTACACTCACCTGACCATTTTTCTCATTGACTTGAAAGAAATCTGCGTCCTGGCCGGTTAACCAATAAGCCAGTTGAGCATTCTCACCTGGTTTTGGCAGGTATAAAAGAATGATTTTGAAAGAACAAATCCATTAAGTTCTATTCGTATAAATGTAAAATTTAATATTGCGTAAACTGGACTGTACATGCAGTAAACAAGAAGACTTTTATCCAACCAAACTGAAAACCAAGAAATGTTAAATAAATCATTCATCCTGTCCACGATACACTCAGAGAGCGTCAAACGAAATTTGAACTCTCAGTGGAAATCAACATTTGAGCATTATGATATGCTGACTTATGGTTTTAAACCTTAGTCCCTCAAAGGAAAAGGTTGTTGTTGAAAATGACATTGAGCCCTGATGACTTAGCAATTGAAGTTTGATTCTTCTGCAAAGTATCTTTGAGGAAATAGGAGTGAAAATTCTACTGCAAGGTGACGTTTAGTGGATGATCATTTCTAACCGCTGTAAGCCTATTCCATACAGCAACTCACACACAAGTATGAGATAAACTGGAGAATATGTGATTTGTTATTCCATAGACTCCTTGTTTAGTATTGTTATGTGAACGAACAACGTGTACTCGTTGTACAACATTTTTTCGAGAAAAATTAAACACGATACAAAATAAGAACCCGTAAATGCGCAGGGTGGGGGAGGTGCATGACTTGTCGCATTGCAGTTACACAGTGAAATCTAAGTAAGTTTTATCGGAAGGAGAGAGTTAGTCATACATAGATTATTCGCAAACATCGCTATAATTCTATCCAGAATGTATAGGGAAATTTAGCTGGGAAAGCTTCATCTTCAATAACCAACACTCAGTCTATCCAACGCAATGCCCGGGAATGCCACAGAGAGACAGGGATCCAAAAATCGGTGGGAAGATACTAGTCACATGAAATCCGGCTACTAGTAGCTTCGTGCACACCCAAATGGAATAATGTTCCGCATGTTACACCACAGTTGTTGATGCAAATTTAAGAAATCAAGCAAAACTATGTCAAAATTGTTGTAAATTGACCTTGTCAGTGAAGCAATTAACTACATAATTATGTGGAAATTTTCAGAAATGTATAGATACACAATTAGCCTAGAGTCTAACCATCAAAAGGATCACGGGTAGGTTGCATCATCCGTTCTCCTCATCGATTCATAATAAGTGAGCAAACTTCTTCACTATGTTAGAACACCTGATTGGTTGCGTTCAAGTCAAATCCCACCAAATGTGGAAGAGATACTTTCGGAAGAACTCATAAAAGAACTCGGAGATTTAGGCCTCAGATTTGGTTTCCCTATATTTAAATTTAACCAGCTCTAAGTATTTTTCAATAATAATTACATGAGATCAATGCATTACACATGAAAAGGATAGAGATGACATAGTGAGTCTTATTTTGAGCAAGAGCTGTATGACTTCTAGACAGAATAAGAAAATGAAATGAGTATGAATAAACCAGGATAATTAAATGACGTTCTTAACTGTCAGACAATCTTAGCAATTCCGAAGTTTTCTCGTCAAATAACCCAACCTTACCAACAGAAAAACGATGAGCGGGAAATTCGGAAGTATGAGGTCATCAATTGCTCGTAGGAAACTCATTTCGTCGGTCGTACAAAACCTGGTCAAAATGAAACACGGTATCATGCTGCGCGACGCGTTCAGAATCCTCCACAACACAAACAACACCAAGGTTCTGAAATACGTCGAGGCACTAGCCATTCAAAATTACCATCCCAAACTGTGTAAACAGCGTGAATGGTTTATCACTCTGGCGCTACCTTGGTAACAAATGTGTTTGGTGAGTAATTTTTATCGCAATCTTCCTTCGCCTATAATTCTGTTATTTACTGACCATATATTAATGATCCCATAAACTGCAGTATGCACGTGTACAGATTCAACGAAATGATCCGGGATACATTTTGTACACCTGTGTTTTTGAATTCTCTAATCAAATTCGTCACGAGGAGACTATGATTCCAAATTACCAAAAATACCTAAGCCAAAGTCTACATAGAAAATTGCTTAGCCTAAAAGTTCAAAATTCAGACGGCGCAATCCATAACTTTGTTATTAATCGATAGATTATCGCTTCACTGTTACCAGTTGCTAAATTATATTTAAAAAATATACTAAGACATTTACTCTGCTACCTGTGGAATATTTTCTATCACTAAACTGCAATACGCCATGGGCTGCACTCCCGCGTTAAATTGGTAGAGAAAAAGCACCGTATTCATTGAAAATGTCAATCCACTTCAGATTCAGCTTCTAAATACCAATTCACTGTTGATTGAGGCAGTAGCCGAAAATGGATATATACATTCTTTGAAACACCGATGCCTAAACAATCTTCACCGTTAATTTAGTGCACGGGGGGTGTGCTGCAATTCTATGAGGTGCTTAATTGATCTTTACCAGGCTCAGCTGTAGATGAATATTTTCTTACCGAAATGGGGATAAGTAATTTGAAAGTTTGCTATCCAAAACGTTGGACAATGGGTTTTCTACATTTCATTCTCACGCAATGCCATTTATTGATTTTCATATATATCATCCAGCTATTGATGTTACCATCAAATTTGAAAGAATGAGCGACTAATTTCTTTAGACCACAGTGGGAAATGCGAAAACCCGTCAAAATACAACTCATGTGGCAACCATGTAGCAAGCAAGACGTTTTGGATGAAGCTGACAGATTGATCCATTCTTCAATGAAGTACAGCAATCCGGTTATCCCAAGAATCATCTCTTTGATGATAAAGCCAGAGGACATTTCGGTCGACCTATTTTTCAAAACATAATGAACTAACAACCCGAACATGTAGTTGCCCCACATAAATTGTGGAAGAAACGTATAACGTGGTAGAGTAGCGATTATTCACTGGGTATTTATTTGTTTTATCCACAAAACTTGGATCGGGAGGACGTCATAGGTACTTCAAACTGCATCTATTCATTTCAGTGCACCTGTAGTTAAAGGTATATTGGGAGGAACGAATGTTAGCTTTGAAAGAGAATGAGTTAACACGTCCCCACAAAAAGTTGCTCTTCTTTGAAAATTTCCCCATCGAGTGGAAGTGCACGATATTTTCCTAGAATTCGGTCACCAATATGATGTACCAAAGGCGTCCCGATATATCACCAGACCTCGAGTTTCACGGGATTGAAGATTTTCAGAAATAAAAATCATCCATTTCTCAAAAACACAATTATCTGCGGAAAACACGTGTAACGCAGCTGTAGTTAACCTGATAGTCGTTGCAACATATCTTGCGCAGCCACTTATCTTTTACCCTCTTCTCGAATACCACCACAATCACAACCATGATCAGCATTCACTCTTTTGTTCTGAAAGCAGTCTACTTCCCTAACTTGATATCCCATTTTGTTACCTAGACTGACCTAACCCCGTAACTAAACCCAGTTATGAAACTCATTTTAACACCATTATATTCCCATAAGTCAGTTCAAATTGCGCTTTTTTAATTCACTTGATTGCAGTAATGGACTTAAATAATTGGGTGGAGGCGCGAGAAATCGCTGCTCAATACAAATGCCGTCCAAAATTTCCACCTGGGTTAATGAAAAAGATAAGGGCGTGAAGGATATCAATCAGGTATTATTTGCGAATATGGGTTGAAAAGTACACCAAATCTATGATTTGGTACAATACAAGGAGAACACCCTGAGCAGTAAAGCAACAATACGTTCATGACTTTTTAAAGAACGAATTATTCGAATTCTTTTGAAAAGCGATAGCTGAAATCAAAACGTAATTATTACCCCGATGCCATTTTACATTATCATCCGTTTTCTAAGACTCCAGGAAAAGGACCTTTCTCGAAACGTATTTGTTTACAGCCACATTTAAAATCAGAGCATCTCTTTTAATAGTTTCGGAGATATATTTTTAAACCCACCTCGAATGATCGTGCTTAAATAACTAAAATTCTGATTAATTTGTTCGTTTGTTTCCCGAAACAAACCTCATTATTCCAGTGCAACTTTCGACGAATTTTGGTCAATAGGGGAACAGAAACACGTCTCTCGGATCGAAACCCATGTTTGTTGAATCGACCAAACACTGTTTATCAGGCCGTAACGAGCCTCCAATCTTTTCTCAACAAACGTTACACTGCATCATAGCACATGCAAATGAATTTTGTGAGGTTGAGTAATCCAATGTGTTTTGATGCTATAACAAGCAAAATAAGAGCGTCCATTCCAGGTAACATCCTATGTCTCATATTAGTATTTGCAGTTTTAAAATATATGACACACAGGGAGATCAGGTCAAGCCAGTTACTGAACATTGTTTGTCAGCTTCTCAGAGGTTGATTGAGCCAACGTTTTTGTGGTAGTAGTAGTAGTAGTAGTAGTAGTAGCAGTAGTAGTAGTAGTGATGGTAGTAGTAGTAGTATTGTGGAAACGACGAAAGTTATCGAAAGAAGATGACTTGCACACTCAACACCGAACACGTAGTGAACGATCTAAACATATGAAAATAAGGCATGCAAAATTAAAAAATATTCCATGATGGCTGGAAATTATTCCTGACTATAGATGATTAGGCTGCAACAAAAATAGGAAAATCAATCAAATAAAACTGGTTCGAGCACTGCTATTGCCAGAGCTTGAATGCTCTGCTAATTATCCTAATGAACATGCTCATCAAAAACTGATGCTCAAACATTCCGAAGCAGTTTGTTGCACACGACTCCCTAAATACACTTTGCTGATGTTATCATACTTATCATCCGTCGGCAATGGGCTTTTGTTTATGTCACATTGCTCATTCATATTTCAATCAAAACCTGTTTTTCTATACTGATAGTTAAAACATAATCCCTTTCAACCTTTTATAATTTCATAGAGTGCACAATTCTGTCAGCGTATCATCGATTTGCCGAAGCATTTGAGCAAAAGTATCTTTCGCAGTATCATGAAATTGCTGTTTACCTATACCGTATATCATCAATTCAAGATTATTCAGGTGTCATCCTCAGAGTTAGCCAGTCAGTTACGGATCCGACAGCTCCTGCCTAGGTGAATCTTTAAACAATGTCATATATTCCTGATTCCTAAGAAGGCAATACGGGAAACCGTGGACATTATTGCACAGTTTTGTTTTTGTTAACGAGAGATCAAAGATCGCAATATGATATAACTGTATGATTTTCACCCCAAAAACCACTCATGTCCCGAAATTTGATTGATAACATCATTAAATATTGTTTGTGTTGTATACCTGGGTCAGTTTGCTGATAAATGAGCAACAGCGTACAATTTTTCTTCATTGCCCATGAAAAGCGTTTTCCATCCTCTACATATTACGTCTATCATAAATTGAATGTAGCTATCTAGATTCCATAGATGCCCGATCTATTATTATAATGACCAAATTCTATGCTTATACGAATCGCTGTTCACGGAGAATTGCAGAAAAGCGAAGGTGAGCCAACAGCATTTAGTTCATCTCTTCAATTTTCTAATAATCATAACTTGAGCCATGCTTAACAAATAAGCTACTTGCATTGTTTCATAATTAATGTTAGCGTCTGATGCAATCTTACAAAGAGTAATTTATTCACACAAGTCCCTTTGCTTTAATTCTCTACAGAGGTTTCATAAATCGGACGTATTTGTGGTACTTAAGCATTTTTCGGGTATACATCTTTGGTTCTTAATCCTTGGTCAACGAATCTTTCAGCAACTGGAGACAAAAAACCCGTCTGCCACCGTTTAATTTTTACTCAGATTAGTAAAAACCACAAAATAAAGTTGAATGAAATTGGAAATTTTCGCGAGGAGTAGAGATGAATCACTTGAGCCTTCTGGGGTGTTACTTAGCGTTGTTCTCCATTCCAAAACACCAACTGCTTGATGTATCACTGATTCACCGTTTCTGTTTGACAGTACACTTCATCAGATGATGAACAGTTAGTTACCCGATACACAATCTGTCAACAGAAATACAAATGCATTGAGCAAGACCAACTACTCGTTTCGAGCATTATGAAAAATTGATTTTGTTTCATAAAGTGTGGGTTCATCATAAAGAAATTAACTACTTCCACGTTCATTCAATATGATGAATCGAGATTTTTTTTAAATGTCTACCTTGCAATGAACTGAAGGCTGTGGAAACTAGTTGATTTTATAGTTAAAAATATTATATGGTAAGCAGACAATGACGCTTAAGAACGCGTATAATGTAGAACACAGTTAAGTGCGTTAAGTAATAAATAAAATCCGTGGGCAAACTGTGTTATATTTGTTTTAACACTCAAAAAATCAAAATGAGACTCGGATTGGCTTTATTCGCAAGTCTAGTAGCTTGCAGTTATGAGGAATACTCCAATCACGGAAAGTCGAAGCATTATTCCATCCATAGGGGCGTGTACTTATTTAGCTGACGCAAAATAACGCAAGCATTTAAGTGCAGTTTAATAGAGCAGCTACGCAAACGATATAAATTATATATGAATTCCTAGTGCTTTCATTTATCGGTTAATGTGTTCCAGGTTATGGAATTTAGTGCAGCTTATTTCTGGTTCTCGGCCTGACCACATGAGTAGCCCGAATTGGTTTGTGCCCGAATGTTTCTCCGAGACCCAACTGCTAATTTACTTTTGATTGTTTTCGTTCCGTAAATGTTTACTGGTGACACATTATCAGATAAGTGATAATGTCAGCCGTTTTCAAAAGACGTGAAGAAAACTGTTTCTGACCAAATGTTACGCATTATGGGGTGCAGTAAAAATATGATGATATTTTGCAAGACGACTAAATTTCCGTTTTGTGATCTGCTGGAACGACAAAACGTTTATCGTGTTTGATGAGAATCACAAACACTTCCTTCTGATAAGACATTTTGCAAACATGAATAGCATGCGCAGGAGAATCAATTTTGTTCAAAGTTCTAAACGCTACAGACACAATCTTGCCCGTAACAATCAAGAACATCTGTTGGTCAGCATACGTTGGTTGCGCTAGAGATGTTCGGTAATCCAGGTCGAAACAGTTAGGTTACTGTTTATTGTGAATAAACAGCGAGTTTTTGTAACTATGGCTGTCCAACACGTTATATTGTCTATTACACAACGTTTTACACTAAAAAGATTTGGTGAAGCAATAATGACAATCCTGATAAAGTGAACAAAAATAGGGTCACGTTTTGGAGGATTCCATCGAGAACAACACAGGATTTTCTATCGCAAGAAGCGCACAAAAAAGGACGTCGGAAGCAGATGCCATAAGAGAAACTAGGAAAACAGATAATTATTTACATTGAGAAAGTTCGTTGGCACACCTCCACGGTGGCTGAGATACAACTTTAAGTCGGCTTAGATTGGGCACCCCAAACAAAGTAGAGTGGCATGAATGCCTCATTCGCACTCATTCTGTGATCCCATTCGACGACAGGTGAAACTACGGCACTTGTAATAGTCGGATCTTTATAAAACAATAATATGTGCGACATTTTAACTAGGTGTCGAGGAAACCAGTCCAATCGTTAACCTCTTCTTCCAAAATGAATTTGATGTTGAGATAAGTTGGGCACCTCGCCATTGCTGTGCAGAAAACAACATATGCTGTGAACTTATAGTCTGTACAGCCTGTATTGCTTAAAACAGGTTCTGCTGACATTAAAAATGAGGAACTATCTTTCATCTCTGTATTTTTCTTGCAAAAGGATTAGTCAGAATGTCTCCGGATAACGGTTTAGCAAATAATTATCTAGAGCGGTGACTTTTAAACGAAGGAAAGAAGACAGTATAAACCTGTAACCCATTCCAAGGGGATAAAATAATGCAGTGGGTTTAATGTAAACTGGCAACGGCGATGGAGAATACATTCCATGCGGCAAAATTGTTTGTCGTATTCACGTCTACGCTGGTCCTGTGTTCGTAACTCAAGGAAAAGATCTTCGATTCTGCAATCTTACTTTGTGTACCTGTTTGCGTGTTCCTGTGGGGCAACGTATATCGGCCGCAAGTTCAGGCGCCTAGCTACAAGAGTTTGGAAACATCAACAGAATTGTTTGAATACTGGTGTAATTAAAATTATTACTAGTGCCGTCGTTTCAAACCTAGTCGAATGTGATCACACAGTGAATGTGAATGAAACCTTTTGGTCTCTCTACCAGGTACGGGGTCAACTTAAACCAATTTAAAATTGCATGCTAGCCACCGATGAGGTGCTTGCTAGTCATCTAGATAATTTCACCTTGTGCACCCAAAACAGTTTTTAAATGACTTAGTCTACCATGGCCCTACACCCTCCCTCCTCCTCCGCCCACCTCAACCAATCTAATCCTCCATTGCAATCATCGAATAGATAAAAAAGTTGTGAAAGTTTCCAACCCAGTCATAATCCCGTAGGCTAGTGCTGAGATTAGCAAGGCGTGATGCCCGCAACAGGCTCGCAAAGACGGACTGTGCTATATTGTGTAAAAGGAAAATGAAAAGCGGTCTGATCAGCTGCCCGGTGGCCGAGTGGGTCGCCTGCTGGCGTTCTGCCTATGAGTTCCGGGGTTCGATCCCCATTAGGGTTGATGTGTTCGTCTTTGTTGTTTCTTTTAAGCCGCTGAATTGGTAAGGGCACAGTTGATTAGGTAATCTGTCAGATTTAATGCACTGTTGATTTGTATAAACTTGTTCGTGCTTCTATGCCTATATTTAACTATTTTTGTGGACAAGTCGGCTTTCAACCATAACTTCATGATTCTTATTAGCTGGTAATTATCTGTTTATTTGTCAACCAAAAGCCAGTGGCACCTCAGGAACCTACCAAGAGCTGCCTAAGTATAAACCCAGCTAATAACCTGGGTCTTGCCACATCATAAATTTCAACATGACTCTTCCTTTCAATGCACAATGTCTGGAGTTTGAGGCAAGAGCATCAATGAGTTATAGACCCAAAGCCTTTGCAAAGCATCTGCCATAGTACCCATTTATAATGTGACTTCTAAAAGATGAATGATTAACAATTATACGATCTCTCGATCTGGAAAATAATTTGTGTCGTCAAATTTTTTCAGTTTAGTTATTCAAGAGATTTAACAGTGATCGATATACATATATACGTTGCATTGTGTGGAAAAAGTTGTGCAATTTAATATATTCAGATTGATCAAAGTAAATGTCTGCATAAGATTATAATCCTATACAGGAAAGAATGAACCTTTTGGTTTCGATTTAGCGAGTGTTGTCCTTCATTAGGAGAATGCCAATAATTTTATCCCGATACCCAAGTTAACACCAATTTAGGCCATCATTCAGTGAAATAATGATTGTTGCACTGGAATATAATGTAACTTATAGATACTCATGACTATTGATTATTATTTTAATCACCATCATCGTGATCATCGTACAGCAGGATGAAGTAAAACGAGCTTCGCTGATCGCAGTCAAAGTGAGTGATTATGATACTGGAATGTGAAATATATTTCCGTTTTACGATCCATGTCCCGTAAATATTTCGATTAGCACTTTTATTTCATCCTAAATAAACAAAGAGTGAATCTTCAGTTGCTCTCCTTGCATTACACTGTTTAAGTGACTGATTCTTTTCCACATGCATGAAGTTGTCAGTAAGCAGTACCAATCTTCTGGTTTTGGTTTTCTGTATGTTTTCTTTGAGTTGGGAGAAAGAGAAACCTTGTGTTCGTTCACGATTACTCTTTTCAATCCCGTTTTACAACAATTATCAGACATAAATGACTGGAAACAATGGTCAAGATTTTCAAAAAGTTTGTTTCCTAATATTATAGCGTGCTCTGATCACTATCAATCAGCAAACAATTTTCGGCAGAGACTGTTAGCCAGAGGTGTGATTAACAAGTGTATCCATTAGGGTAATGTATCATGTGGTTTACGCCCAATACAGAATAAAATGGTCCCTTCATGAATTTACCAACAGATCGCAGGTAACAATAAAATAGTATCAGTGATGTATCATGTCATTTACCTTCATCCTCATCGGTTGCATTGATCATAAACACCGGAGTACTCAATGCTGTATCCTCCCGTACACTGTGATAGTAACTGGATCGTGAGAATCGCGGTCGCTCGTCATTTACATCTGTGATTCGCACAGAAACCGAACCTGTGGTGTTTCTCGGCGGTTGACCGAAGTCGGAGCAAACAATCCATACGAGAATCCGAGCAGTCAGTTCCCGATCAAACATGGAGGCCGTTGTCAGTTTGTACCTGGGAGTGGAAGACAGCAATCAATCAGTGCAAACCCCCATCAACTTTCACGGAATTCACTGTGATCGGGGATTAAGCTACTTTTGCCTGTTTTACAACTGCACCGCAAGGACTATGTGGCGGAATCAGTGGCAGGATTTGTCATTCAAATATTGTAACGTATATCCGCATATACTTCGACCTCATGAACTTTAATATGGAGAACTATTCTGATGCATATTTAAGCTTGAGCGTTCCAATCTGACCCGAACTGCTTTTCTTTTCCAGGCAATGTTGGGTTCACTATTGTTCTCCACAGGGAGTTGTTGATAAGATACAAATTACATCAATGATTCCTTCGGGAATTGGACCGCATGTAATCAAGTTGTAAAACCAACTAGAACAAATCAGCGACCTTACGGAATAAAGGAGATAATCAGTAGTAAGTGGCAATTATTTGTTGGAGAATAATTATCAAGTTCTTCGTTAGAATTTTTATTTCTATCCTAAAATGCATGAGAAAATTAGTCTCTTTTGCTTTACATTGTTTTCTTTTCAGCATAAAAGGGGAATAGTCAATAATGTTAATAAACACCATAAAATGAGTCCCACATTCAATTGAAAAGGAACTGGTCTTTATCATACACAGAACATCAACAAGCAAATGGGATAATGGAAATCTTTAAGTCTTTACTAGGTTCCATTTTCATACCTGTAGCTAAATGGACCAGTAAACGTTACTACTGTCGATATATGAAAACAATGCCTTGTCTTAGTCACTTAAGAGTGTCATGTTTTGGGAAACACTTTTTCTTTGAAAAATGCAAGGAGTTCAAAGGTGAACGAGAATCTATGGGTTTTTTGCTTCTTTTTGCTGCGCACTAATTCGGAAAGCTAATCAAATTCACTGAGATCCATGGTCATGCACAACAGCCCTGTAGATGTTTATAATGGTTGTTCGAATACCAAAACCTTCATTATGCGAGAATAAGATTGATTGGTTGTACGTTTTCATCAATGGTTGAATTATTTGCATAATGAAAGATGTCACAGCTTACATCGAACTGACACCGAAGGATGGACTTGAATCCAGTATTCTTGTGTAATACGTAGTAAAGTACAAAATTTTCAGTTTTCGATATTCACAGAATGAGAGTCAACCCATTTCTATAAACTTTTGAGAAGAAAATGATAGCTACACTTGAATCAGTTTTACGATTGTCTTGAACTTTTCGTGTTTGTGTTTATCCGTTAGTCCCTTCAATAGCACGATTTAAACCAGACTTATGTATGAATAAACAAACTGCTCGCTATGTGAACAAAATTTGATGATTGAATTTTTGCTTGCTATCGTCATCAGAAGAGAATCTGATTCAAACCTTTCCTTAGGAGCACTGCCGTAGATTTCATGCAGTTAATTTAGGATCTTTATTATCACCATCGACCGTGTAGCTCAAGATTAAGGGTTTGAAGTCCCAACCCCAATGTTTGCTGTTCGAGTCCTCACAAGGGCACGAAAGGTGGACACTGCTGATCAGTCCTAAACACGACGAAAAAGCTGTCCAGTGCTCTTTGTCGATTATCATAAACATTTCCATCGCATTTAAATGCATTCAAGTAGTGGGGAACTAACGATCTTCCAAGAGTAAAACCCATAGCAAACATCATTAACAATACTTGATGTCTGTGAAAACCGAATGGGCTTATTCCAACACTCACCACCTAGATCTTTAGAATGAATTTTTATTTGAAATAGGGAAATTTAAATATGCTACTTATTTATGAAAAGACCTTGAGAGAGAAGTTCTACATGTGGGAGTCGATATCTATCGGGCAAGGTCCAGGTACTATAAAATAAACAATAACTTATGCGCATCATATCACAAAGTATTAGTGCGAATGAAGCTGCTGACAGCCAACGCCAGTAGCTTAGATGGTTAACGCACGGAATTACCAACCCTTCGTTTGGGTTCCAACCTCAGTGTTGTCGGTAAAAATCTAATCGTTGGGAGGAACCAATGTGATGCAAATCGGTGTGTTACACAAGCTTGATTAATATCTGTATATGATTCCTTCACCAGACCCTTACTAAATTAGTTGAGAACGTGAAGCCCATCTTGCCCGTCATCTTCCCTGTTCACGGTAGGCAGTTACCATTTCTGTAAGGTCCTTCATAGCAACTAATACAACCATACCCCGGTAGTCAACATTGAAATGTCATTTAGTAAATACACTTATCTAGCGATGTGAAAGACAGAGACAGAATGCTCCTTTTGGTGATGAAGATGAATAACACAACTAAGGGAAACAACTACTATGACCCAGCAAGTTGGAAACGGAACGACAGCCGGCTAATTGAGTGGTTTACTGAATGACAAAACGTCATTTGTATACTGAATCCTACATAATCGAACGAACTCCAATTGGTTACAAATCAATAAAAACAGCTTCTCCATAGAACTTGGTAGCCTAGATGCACTTCGGGTTGTCAATATTCTTAGGTTGTCTAAATATTTTTGATAGATAAAGATAAGATAAGATAAAGATAAGCACGGATTAATTAGGAAAATCAATATAAAAATGAGTCTTCATCGTTTATGGAATAACCGAACCGGGTCGGTAATCTGTGTCGTATGCTTACACCCGCATATTAGTCTGTCTGTTTGTGCATTATTATGGCACCATCTGACCAACTGTCTATTCTATAAAGCGATATAATTATATAATTTGGAGGTGGTCATTTAGAATGCATATTTTTGTGTTATGAAAACTTGTATTCATTTTTGAATCTCCCAAATAAGAGATACTCTATTTGGTCGCATTCTTACGAATTAGAACTTTTGTCCCCTTCGATGCCATTTTCTTCGTACATTTCAGTCAGAAAAGGTTTTGTGCTAAAAACGATACTAGTTGGATTAGACCATATTAATCCTATCATGGATGAATGGATTTTTCCGCTTTCAATGGGAACACTTCACTCGGTGAATCTCACTTGGATCAGGCATCATGGATAGAAGTTTTCTGATATGGTGACTGCTCACAAGTATGCTTTGCACACGCGAATATTTTATGAACAAAATCTGTCAACAGTACAACAACACTTGCACTATGAAAAAAAGGTAAATGAATTGGCGTACTCAATTTGAAGGACCATTGGTTGCATTTTTGTCAAGATTGTTTAGGTTCCTCTATCTTTATACCGGACGCACTAAATCGTATCGCACAGATCACCTGAAGTTCTAAAGCGCTTTCTTGCACAAGAGAAACAGCACTTGATCACATTTCTCACACATGATTCAATATTTTCCTCCTACCCTCACATGAGTTCAAGCTGTAGCCTACATAATTCACGAAGTGAATTGCTTTAAAACACACGCACATAATTTCTGTTCAAAAAAACAAACAAACCGAATGTATCACTGATGAAAATAAGTGAGCTCGTACTGGTACAGTTCAACCACAAGGACTAACTTTTACCTACAGCAGAGATGCAGAAAAAGAATACTTCCATTACAAAGGTCTGATTTTCACTAAATTGAACATCTTGCCGCTATCTTCGTGTAATATTGAAAAATACCCAACTGTCGCCTGTTTGACAGTTCAGTTTGTGCGCACAAATACTGGACGTGAGTATTATGGCCGGATGTTACACACACAAGCATTCTCAACGTAATGTACCAAGCTGTGATTTGTGAACAAGAGAGACCATTTGTCAATCCTTCACAGAGGTCGGTTTGCATACCCGAGGCACAGTTCACGGTGCCCACCAAGGAGGTCTGAGTTCAAGGTGAATGTTTCTTTGTGTATGTGCGTGTGTGTTTAGGGGGTAGAGATTACACCGAACAACCTTCGAATACAATAGAATTTCAAGTATTGAAAATTGAATGGGAACGTTTTCACCAGAACCGGTACACGAAGTGATCGACAAAACAACACTTTGCATGCGATCCGCGTGCATTGCACCGAAGGGCGGTAAAACCTCAAACTGAATGTAGCACTTTTCATTTCTGAGTACTTTTTCCGCTGAAAGAAGTATGGGATTAGGTGGTACGTTGCTAATCACTTAATGTATAACAACTGTAAAAACTGCCCAATCAAAGTTTAAGCCCGGCTTTGCCATGGATCAAATAGTGCACTCTTGTATGCTTTTCTAAGTTGATCCAATTGGTTGTCTTAAAATCTTCTTTCTCGGAAACTACGTCCAAGAGTGAGAAATCGAATTCATTCTGTGGTGTTTTTGCATCAATCTGTGGGAGAATGGGTTAATTTTCAGCGTTGTACTTGCCTGAGATTGCCCAATCATATGATGTAATTCCATTGAGAAATTTGCTGCCGCGAAATGAACTTCTCTCCAGATCATTTTTGTTTTGTTGCGGGAGGGGGGATCCGCATGAGAAATTCCAAAAGCAGACTCTACGGTTTACGGCTGTGATACAAAAGACGAACGGGTATTATCTACCATGATTCTAAATATCCTTCAATAAACTACCATGTGCGCCAGATAAATTAATTACCCACCTGGATCAGTGGGTAACATCAAAGTACTAACGGCATTCTGCCGGTTTCGAATGGACTGGTACACGCATATGAATCTCATTCGGTATTCCACAAAGCGAGTGAATGTGGCGGCGATCTGACAGTCCACAGTTATTATGTAATCAAGTTTTAAAAGCTGTATTGACACAATGTGTTTCTATAATCTATAAGCATATGAACATATGACTGTGATCAATTCAGCAAACGATATAAATATATAAAAAGCTCGATCTATTATAGAGTTGTTTGATAAAATATATTTCTCGCACGTTTCATTTAATAAGCCTTGGTTGAAAAAATATGATGTTCTGAAACCTATGAAATACACACAGGAACCACAGACGATTCAGGAACATGAAACTTATCCATTCTGAGAGTGACGATCTGTTTGGAAAATAGCGTTTGCATCGTGCGAACATTGCATTCAATGTGATCGATAAACCGAAAGCTTTTTATACTGTATTTTGACCCCGAACTAATACGAT